GCACTTATCTGTACATAGTAAATGCAGTTATTTTTAAGCGGTTGTTGACATCCTATCTAAAACGTGATTTAGCCACACAAAAAAAATCAACAACGTTACAAACTCTAATATGTCTTAATATTAATATGTCGCAATATCCGTGTGTGCAAAGGTTCTTGCGCGATCCTCTTGTTCAATATTCTCTAGGTCTGAATCCGGCTCAAATTGATATGGCAATATTGACGCCTTCCTTAACTAAACCGGAGCAGTACACCCCCAAAACAAATTCAAGACATTGTAAAAGAGCATAATAGGACCCCTTTAAACACAAGTACTAACAATAATGGAAAAGGAACTGTAGTAGTGCATTGAAGACAGAAATGCACTTTTTGGCACCTAAATCATCCCTCTTCTTTTACACTGTGCATAAGTTTTATTGTTATTGTTACTTTGCGCACATATAAAATGCACATTTTCTAATTATATTGACACAGTTACAGTGTGCCTATTTATGTCCCTACTTTATTCCTTCTTATTTCTCACCACTTACACTCATTTAGCAACAGGTTTCTAGGCTGGTTTTCCAGTCACATATTCAAAAGTCGCATAACCCCAAGGAACAGTAGTGACTGAGAAACCAGCAAATGTTTTTAGACTTTTGACAAAGTAGGTCATATGATTTAAAAAAAAAAAAAAAAAAAAACAGAGGACTGCTGAATCCAGAGAAGAATGACCTGTTGTGTACCACAAAACATGTTCTTTATGTCACTTATGAAATCATTTAATGGTGCCAGTGTCAAGTTATCAGGAGTTACAATGTAACTTGTAGGAACTCCAAAACTTTGTTCAAAAATCTAAGAGGCTACACAATTCAAACAGGAAACAAAAGCCCACTCACAGATGTTGCAACAAAAAAAGAAATAAAAGAACAACGGGAACATTCAGATCCTTCCATCATGAGTGATGGCGCATGATGATGAACACACTTGAGTAATTCTCATTCTTTTGTTCGATTCTTGACTTTCCTCACAGTGCTTGCATGAGACAGGTGAGCTTCAAAGCTGTAGGACAGGGCTGCCCAAACTCAGTCCTGGAGGGCCGGTGTCCTGCAGAGTTTAGCTCCAACTTGCCTCAACACACCTGCTGGTAAGTTTCTAGTATGCCTATAAGAGCTTGATTAGCTGGTTCAGGTGTGTTTAATTGGGGTTGGAGCTAAACTCTGCAGGACACCGGCCCTCCAGGACCGAGTTTGGGCACCCCTGCTGTAGGACATCGAGTCAAGGCTGTGAGGTGTTGCTGCTGAACAATTGCATATTATTACAGAGCCTCTTTGAAGAGCTTGTGGAATGTTTTTATTGAAGCATTTATTGACAACGCCATTGCGGACCACTGTTTGAAGGCTTCCTGAAACTTCATGAAAAATTAAGCAGAGAATATTATCTTCCTCACTGATCCGATGTAAAGACGGGGCACTTGCTGTGCACATTCTCACCAAGTCCCTAATGCAAAACGGTCCGCAGGTGGAGCAGGATGTTCTCGCAGCAATATTAAGACTTGAAAACATGCACAGCCCTAATAACGTATTGTCTGCAGATAGGGCATTCGCTCATGCACTTCCCGCACTTAGTGCAGGTGACCATGTGACCGCACTCCAGCAGCACACAGTCAATTATCGCGTCCATACAGATGCGACACAGGTTGTCGTCATTTGATAACTGGGTCTTGCAACCATCTGCAGTGCGAGAGAGAGAGAGAGAGAGAGAGAGAGAGGGGAAAAAAGATGGGTCATTACTACAGGTGCCAATCTCTCTGTAAGGACAGGATCTTGACTAAAGCCCAAAGTATACTTCGGTGTTTACACATACGTTTTGTGCTTTGATTTTTCTTTTTTCCCCCATAAAGTGCCAACACTGACCCAAGCCGTTGTTTTTCGGAAGAGAAACGGAGGAGACAGAACAAGAACAACGACAAACTACTCAAGATGACAAATTCCAATAGAGGCCCGTGTTGACGAATGCTTGTGAGAGGGGATTAAAAAATACCTGCAACTCTAGTATAAATGCGTAAGACATATTTATCATTCATAACTTTTAGAGAGAAAAGGCACTGACACTGGATCTTTGTAGTGCACATGTTTCGAGCGCTTTTGTTTATGCACGCTATCAAATGGAGTACTTTGAAGGGCAGAGCATTTGACTGTGCACATAAAAAAACCAAAGTATACTTTGAACCAATCACAACTAGAGATGGCCACAACTCAAACTGAATGCCTCCAACTAGTGATGCAACAAAAATATTGGGATGAAACGGCAAAAAGAAAAATTAATTTTTGGCAGTACTAGTTTTGGAGGGTCGAAATCATTAATTGAAACGGTTAGCGCTTCTCCGATGAAGTGTTTTGACTGTGCCGGCATCCATTTCATACACACAATGTGTATAACGAAAAATGTCAGCAAAGTGGACACACTTCACCGTGACCAAAAATTATGCTAGAGTAGCATATATGTAAAATTTGTTCGGGTTAAATAAGTGACTTGTTGGCAAATAATTTTAACGACTAGTTTATCACCTGTGAACACGACATTCTGAATAGCATCCAGAGTTCAATTACTAAATTACCAAAGTTTTATTTTCAGTATCAGAGTTGCGGTTAAAAAAAAAAACATTTTGTTGCATTGTGCAGTTTACTTGAACCCTAGTTATAAGATATAATAATACTTGATGAAGGGCACAGATGGAATGGCACAATGGGGGTAAAACGTAACACAAGATACATTTTGATGACCCTTAACCCAACAGGTAAAATGTATTATTAATCATATATTGAGGTATAAACAATGTCACTACACATTTTCCTTTCCTTTTTTCTTTGAGAGAACATGCTATCTGGCAGTGGCCATGCAGGGAGGGGGTTGAAGTGCAATGACATCACAAAATGCTGTGCACTGGTGGGTGTGACCAGGAAACATTTCCACCAATCCCAAGCCTTACCTCCGATTCCGCCATTGCAGATTGGAGGGGGATAAGCTACCACTTAAGTGGGAGGAGCAAAGCACAGCTATTAGACTCGGCTATGAGTTCAATAATTAAACAATCTATTAAATTTACTGTAAAACCTAAGCTGATCATTAATGAAAAGCAACTCCTACACCTAAGAAAGGCTATTTTCACTCTTTGTATGAACTTCGTATGAAGTCAGACTGTGAGGTGAAGTAATTTCCTACCTGCAGTGAAGGGGTTGCTCACATTTTCCACTGACAGACAAAAATAAATAAATAAAAATAAATAAATTTAAAAAAAAACTTAAGTAGGAACAATATATTTTTCGTACATTTTTTAAAGAATATTTTAAAAGAATTTTTAATATTTAAAAAATTATTTTCTCAATTTACCTACAATTGGCAGTTAATCTTAGACTGCGTGTTGCTGTATATAAGGAATAGTGTTAGTGCAGCGCTGCATTTAGAACTCACTAGATTTGCGATTGTCCTCGTTCTCCCTGTAAAGCCTCCTGACGCGCTCCACCAGCTCCCACTTTTCACAGCAGCCAGAGAAGCTCACAAAGTTTCTCGCCAGGATCTCCTTTAGCTGCCGAACGGTCAGCTGCTGCACCTCATCAAGAGAGGACATGTCTGACGGAGAAGCTCTAGCCCGCCGCCGTGTCTGAGGACTAACCTGATGGTAAAACCACATTCTAGTCATATGATCAATGCGATTTAAGAAATTATCATATTCAAAAATTTCTAGAAATGACCATGTCATTCCTAAGTGACTTAACTCACCTCAGGTGTGTGTTCTGTCTGGTCAAGGTTAAGGAGAGAGACTGAAGTGGAGTCCTCAATATCCTATCAGCAAGGAATATTTACACAGAAAGAATATATTTATCCATACATGCTAAGCCCCTTACAGCTTTAGAAAGGATACCTGCCACAAGTAAACAAGTAAGCAAAGTATCTTTCAGTCTGGCATCATTTCAACTCTTCTGTTAATAGATGGATAAATGGAATGAAGCGCACTTCCAAAGTCACAACTGTGCAAACGAGTTCTGCCACATGCTTTTTGTGAACTAACTAACATTACATTTCTGCTCCCTGGATCAGCTGAGGAACGGGCCATGTTTGACATGAAATACTAGTGTACTGCTCTTGCAGAGTATATACTTCCTACTTCGTAGGAAGTTAGGAACATAACAGTAAGAATTATATTTCAAACAATGCTATGTTATTATGGTGACATGGTTTCATCATATTGCATGTTTAATTTAATGGTGCACAGTTATCATCTTGGGGAAAAATAACATTATTTTGCACTTTTAATTCAATTGTGTAATGTTTTAGTTATTAAATTAATAAAATGTATTAAAAATTAAGTAATTTAAGGAAAAATAAACATATTGACATACATAGGAAGTTTGAGTCAAAAAAAATTTGTATTCTGGAATGTATGTGTTGTTCCAAACTAGGGCTGGGTGATGTGAGAATTTATTTTTTTATATCAATAATCACCATGCAGAATATCTAATATCTGATTATGTTGTCTACCCACCCTGCTCACAAATACTGTGTTTTTATCAAATCTATGTTTGAAATGAATTTCGTTTTGTGAGGAGAACTGTTGAAGATAATCTAACAGAACCCAATTTTATGTTCACAATGAAGGTGGACCTTCTTATGCGATTATAAAAATGATAAACAGTACATGTTGAATGCACAGAGGCATGTGTCTTGATTAAATTATTTTTTTCATAAGGTCCAATGTTTCTCTTTCTCATTTTCTTTTTGCAATTATCGGCAAGTTAGACATTTAATTTAGCCTTTCAGGACAAGTTTAATTTCCTTATTATAACATTTCACGGTTTCTAAA